GAGAAGGGATTGCAGCACGGCCATCCCCCCAGGGGGTGATTTCTTACTTTCTGTCTCTCTGTCTCTCTCTGTCTGTCTAGCGAATGCATGCACCCTATAGCAAAAACCTCTCCAAAAAAAGAAAAAAAACATGTTCTGTGGAAATATAATGAGTTCAGTTTTTAAAATGAGAACCTGAGGTTCCTGTGGAGTTATCCAGAAGACAGATATCTCAAGAGACAAGCCTGTGCTAAAGTTTGGGAAGTCATTGAGTTATAGCTGAAGACTGAGCTGGAGTGACAGAGCCCATGGAAGGAGCCAGTGGTAGATGCTTGGGGCACCAATATTTAGGAGATGGGTAGGTGAGAGAAGGAAGCTCTCCCACGGAGACTTATCTAAGTACACCTTGTTCTTGTAGGGCTTGTACAATTAAAAGACGATCAGCATTCATGAGTTAGGATTCATTTGAAAACTCTTGAAAGACATACTATTACAAAATAAATTAGCGTTCCTGAGTTAAGATGCATTTGACTACACTGTGTTCTTCAAATATGTACTCCTGGGCTGTTGGAAAAGTCATGATGCATTTTCACATAGAAAAACAGACCCAATATTTGTCAAAACAGTCACCATTAATAAATTGAATATAAACATGCACTACAAATTGCATAAACCCTTGTGTTGTTCAGTAAACCAGCAATAATTAAACATAACAAAGCAACCATGAAAACAAAATTTCCAAATTGAAAAAGCAGTTAGTAATTTGGATGAGAGTTACAGAACTATGTAGAAGATCGTGGGGAGCAGACAAGTGAAGCTCCGTGAAGAGTGCTAACCACACTTGTGAGAAGGGTAGCAGAGGGGACAGTGTGAAGAAGCACAGGTAGAGATACAGTTCAGCTGGAAGGATCCAAGCTTCACATCTAGCTGGTTAGACATTTCCCAACCTACTCCAAGTCTTTGTTTTTTCTACAAGGTGGTTAGTCATCCATTTATTAAAAAGTAGACTTATATTAAAAAACACATTTTTCATCATATTGACGATTAAGCTGGATATTTTAAAAATGCTTTATAATTCTTTGTATTCAATTGAACTATCCAGTCTTAATGCTATAGAAAAAAATACATATTGACGTGAACTTCACTGGCCAAAGTCATGATGATTACAAAACCCAGTGGGAGTTGGGAGACCTGACTAAGCAAAGCTTAAAGGAAAAAGCAAAATAATTTTTTAAAAATTTCATTTAATCATAGTACATGTTTACAGCAATATTGTTTTCCTGGCATGCATGAAGCACATGTTAATCGAGTGAAAGATTTTTTCCATGTACATCAAAGCTAAAGAATTTTAAGCCTTTTATTTTTATTATTTATTTATTTTAGAGAGATTTGTGCTACGGAGTGCGTGTGCTCACCAGAGAGACAAAGAGAGACAGAAAGTGAGAAATCACCCACGGTGAGATGGGCACGCCACAATCCCTTCTTCTCCATTCTCCTCTTGGGATTTTGGGCATGCACACAGATACCTGGCGTGGGTTTAGGCTGCTGGAGTCCGGGACCCAAACCGCCGTTGACTACGTGGGAGTCCAGCAATGTAGCCATTGTGCTATCTGCTGGTCCCAAGCTCTTTATTTTTTAAATTAAGGAACATGCTGTAGAGTCACTAAAGAACAGTAATTATAGACATAAACTATTTTCTAAGCCAGCGGTTGCTATTTCTGTTTAATTTTTAAACTAGTATCTTTCTATGCTTAGAAGTATATTAATTTCTTATTGATGCTGTGTAAGATGATCTCAAATGTGGTGATGTAGATTAGGCAAATCTGTCATCTCGTAGTTCTGAAGGTCAGAATCTTGCAGGACTAAAATTGGCATGTCAGAGGCTGTGTGAGGCTCCAAGGGAGACTCTTGTCCTTGCTTTTCAGAGCTTCCAGAGGTCGCCTCCATTCCTTGACCTGTGGCTCTCCTTGAAAGCCAGCACCGGCTTCCCTGGCCCTCTGCTTCCTGGACACTGTGTCCTCGGACGCCCTACCTCCCTCCTGTCCTCATAGAGACCTTTAGGATTACTATGGGCTCACTTGGGGAGTCCAGGAGACTGTCACTATCTGAAGACCCTTCTCTTAATCAGAGTTTCAGAGTCCCATCTCCTCCCTGGGCAGGTACATATTTACATGTTACCAGAATTATGTAAACAAATGTCAGTAATTAAATCGTTGGTAGTCATGTTGGCGTCATCGTGCTGAGGTGGTCCTGAAAGTACTGGGACAAAGCAGTTACCATACTACTTAAACTGCTGGGAGAGGGGGAAGATTTATATTGTTGTGTATTAACTTCCAGATCATCTTCAAAAGACTTTAGTAAATGTTTACGTTTCTCTGTGAATGCTATGGTTTGAGTGTCCCCCCCCCATCGTCCATTGTAATGGCAGTAAGAGGGTAAAAACGTAATCTGAATATAGTACTGAATAGTGGGGTCTTTGGGTGTGATAACGTCATTAGGGCGAGGCCTCTGTGATTGATCTGGTGGGTTTATAAACAGAGAATGAGCTGAGAAGGCTGGCAGGGAGAAAATGGCGGGGATACAGACCTCTCGCGCTCTGCTTAAAGTCCTGTCTTTTACTGTTTTGTGACACCTTTGGACTTCGTAGTCACCAGAACTGTGAGTCAAATAAATTCGTTCTCTCACCTTCACCCAGTCTCAGGTATTTGTTAGTAACCCCAAAACAGTCTAAGGCAAGGGTGCTTTTAGTTTGTATTGATGTTTCTCCTTAATGTAACGGCACTAAGGAGAGGCTGTCCGTGGACAGACTGTCAGCCCTCAACCTGCAGCCCACTGGGTTTTCATGCTCCCATTCCACGGTGGTTTGGATTTGATCAGGGGACAGGGAGAACACCCCTCAGCTAGAAACAGAGACTGCGTCTTGTCCATCAGGGGAGAAGGCGTTTAGGGCAGAGAAGCCTTTGGGCACGCTCAAATCCCAAAGCTGAGGAAGTCAGTCATCCCACACAGGGAGACGTCTGCTCCAAATTCAGGCAATGCGCCAGTCAGCCGGCATGTAGCTGTGCTTGTTACAAGTCAATGCAGCCTTAGTCTTAATTGAGGGGTCTTCGAAAGTTCAGGAACGATGCATATTAAAAACCTGCATGAATTTCTTTTTGTATCAAAATAAACTTATACTTTAATTCCATTTTTCCATGAAAAAATAGGAGTCTCCCCATATAGTATGGTGATTGTTTATTTCTAAATATTATAAGTTTTGAGTAATTTATTAAAATTTCTGAAATATATTGCACTGTTTTCTGTAGTTACTTCTTCAAAACAGTTGTCTGCCTGTGTAGTTAAAAGCGTTTTTTTTGTTGTTTCTAGTAAATTAAAGCCTAAAATATTTTTTAAAGAATTATTTTAAGTTTGTTTATTTATCCACTTTATTTTAATTTGATGAGAGAGAGAGAGAAAGAAAGAGGGAAAGTGAGAAAGCAAGCTATCCTGCCCGGGACTTGAACTGTGGTTGGTCATATAGGAATCCAGCGCCCTTAACCACCACAGTAGCTGCTGGCCCCGAAGCCTAAAACATTTTAAGTTGTAGTTTGCTTTTTTTTTTTTTTTAACTTCAATTTTGATGACTGAAGCTTTACCTATTTGAGGGAGAATTTGGTAGAATTGTTTGAAAGGAAGAAAAGATAAGGTTGAAAAATTAGTGATAAAATTGTATAAATTGTTATAAGGAGATTCTAGCTTCGTGAAGCCAATTTAGCTATTCTTTACATTGCAAAAATGTTTTGAAGGTTTAAGCAGTACTCTTTTTTCTGTGCATTTATATTGTTATATAGAAATAATATGTATATCTACTCTTTTCAAAGAATGAATCTACTTGTAAAGTAGATCTAAACGTTTTCTTTCCTTTTTTAAAAAGAATTATTTAACTTAATTTATTTATTTTTATTTATTTTAATTTGACCAGAGAGTGACAGAGTGAGAAAGAGAGGAAAGTGAGAAAACAAGCCATGGGGTGGGACCTCGAACTGTGGTCGCCCATGTGGGAGTCCAGCACCCTTAACCACCATGCCTCCTGCCTGCCCTGATTTAAACATTTTCTATGGCAGCTGTAGTAGTACTAAATGATATTCAACATAGGTTAATGGGTGAGAAATAAAAGCTATAATGATTCGGGATGGGAGAGAGTGTCGCTGCTTGGTTTACTTCCGTTTGCCATGAGGAATATACCTGAAGTAGGCTAAGCCAGCAGCCAGCAATGCCAGGCCCACCGGTGCCATCTTTATCCAAGAGAGCTGGGAGGGTGAGCCGCTGTCCTCACCAGTCATCCGAGACCTCAGGGGCTTGATGATGCGCTCTCTCTGGGTCAGGATGGCTCTGCGGGCCCCATCCCATTTCCCTGGGCCCTGCAGGCGGTACTGGTATGGGGTACAGGGGCCAAAGAAAACCTCCAGGGCCAACTTGGGATCGGAGAGGAGGAGGAAGAGCAGGCTGGGCTTCACTCCTGCCAGGGCGGCGATCTCGTCCATGTACTCGATGTGATCCACCTGGATGGTGTGGCGGGGCGTCTTCACGTACCTGGAACCGAAGAGAAGAGTGGGGAGGACTCAGGGCCTCCCGGGGCAGAGAAGGACGGAGGGGGCCAGCAGGTGGAGTAGCGGCTAAGGTGCTGGACTCTCCCACGTGGGCGACCGCGTGGTTCCAGTGTAGGACTGGAGGCTTGAAACTCAGGCCGGTCACACGTGGGTGCATGCCCCAAATCCCAGAGGAGGATGGAGGAGAAGGGACTGTGCTGTGGCCACCCCCTGACAGGGGGATTTTCTCACTTTCCCTCCCTCTACCTCTCTCTAATGGGAGCACATACCTATGGCAAAAATCTAAATGAATAAACAAATACATTTGCTTTCATTCTAAAACAAAACAAAACAAAAGTGGATTTAAAACCCCAGGTTAAGAATTCCATGACACATGTGACGGTCCCCAGTGAGGTGCTATGAATGATTTATTTACCGTTTCTCCATAGCCTGTTTTCTCTGGGCAATATCCGCCATCATGTTCTTCGCTGAGGGTAATTTGCTCAGCCCTAGAAGGGAAAGTTCAGTCTGTCAGAATTCCTAGGGACAAGAAGGCGCCTTTTACTGCAAGGGGATAACTACGGTCAAGAAGAAACTGAGGATGAGCTATCGGGCCTTTCTCCGACGCTCGCTCCATACCTTTGAACACGCGGGTAGCCCAGCGAGACTGGAGCTCTGCAATAGGGAGGACGATGCCCAGGGGCTGGATGAGACCGATAACGGCCAGTGTGGGCTTCTCCAGGTCTGGCGGGAACATCAGCTTGTACAGGGACACCTCATTATTGCTAACTTTGATCAGCCCCTCAAGGAAAGGGAAGGAAAAGCTGTATCCTGTAGCGAAGACGACGACATCAATATTCTCTTCCACGGTGCCATCGTCAAAAATGGCATCTGTTTCCGTAAACTCCTTTACATTGGGCTTCACTTGGACTTTTCCAGAAATGATGTGATTTGGCAGGTCATCACTGAGAGTGGGATGCTGACTTAAAAGTCTGTATATAAAAATAAAAATCGCAAGTAAGCAAATATACAGAAAGGAAGCAAGGCCTGTGTGAAGAGGTTTAAGCCAACGATTCGAATTCTCACTCCAAACTTCTGTGTTTCTAACGGCAAAGGAGAGTAACTCTGTAGCCCAGTTACTTTAGTGGTTACCTTGGCTTCAGACCTTTTCAGTCTTATATTTTGTCTTAAAAACTTGTGTGTATCTTGTATTCTGTGCAATAATGTTTTTAATTTGTTTTTATGTTAAAATTTTTTAAAAGAATTATTTGATTCTATTTATCATTATTATATATAAAAGCGTGAAGAGCAATTATGGGCACTAGAGACAGCATGGGAGGAAGGTGGGAAGTGGGGGAGGATGAGAAGAAGGGAATCCAGGGGAAAGAGAAGTAAAACACTTAAGGGACACAAAAATGGAAAACTATCTTGGGAACCAGCAGTTAGCGTAATGGCCATGTTGCTGGACTCCCACGTAGTCGACAGCAGTTCGCGTCCTGGACCCAATGGCTTAAAACTCATGCTGGGCACGTGTGCGTGCGTGCCCAAGATCCCGAGAGGAGAATGGAGGAGAAGGGATTGCGGCGTGGCCATCCCCCTGGGGGGTGATTTCTCACTTTCTGTCTCTATGTCTTTCTCTGTCTGTCTGGTGAGCGTACGCACCCTATAGCGAAAACCTCTCCAAAAAAAAAAAAAAAATTGAAAACTATCTGTTGATGATAATGTGCCTGATAATATCTTTGACTGGACTAATATTTACAATATTCATGCTGGGAAAATTCATTTTGTATGCTGTAATAATATATAGTGATTGAATGCATAAAAATAATAAAATTAATGAAAAATAAAACAAAACAAAAAGAATTATTTATTTAATCTTCTTTATCATCATTATTATTTTAATTTGCAGGCATGTGAATTCACCAGAGAGAGACGGAAAAAGAGAGAGAGAGAGGGAAAGTTAGAAAGCAAGCTGCCAGCTCTGGGACTCAAACCGTGATCAGTCATGTGGGAGTCCAACGTCTATGCCATCTGCTGGCCCCATGTTAAAACATTTTAAATTACTTAGAACTGAGAAAAAAATGATACATGACTGTGAATCCTAGTTTGAAGACAAGTCATAGATTATCATGAGCCTTTCTTTCCACCTTCCAAATTAGTATCATTTGTAGGCAAAATCTCTCAATTAGATCTTGTCATAAATTTGTTGCAGAAGTAGCCATAAAGCATCTGACACTAGTACCCATTCAAATATGTGTTAAATGGCCAAGTTATTGCCTTAACTAGCTACCTCCAGGCATGGAGTCCATGTTTGAGAGAGGAAGAATGAGAAAAGGGAAGCTTGAGTCCATCAAGAAAGAAGCACACAGCATTGATTGAGGGACCATGTACAGACGAGGCTGCATCGTGTCCTGACTGCGAAAGCAAGAAGAGAAATTCCAGTAGGTGTTTTCACAGAGGTCATCAGGCTGTGGAGTCCATATGAGGGGGTAAGGAAGTTGACTTGGTGCTAGGGCTACACCTAAACACCTTCATCAGTGCCTGGGAATGTTTGAGGCTGCACGGGGACTCATATCTACAGGGGAAAGCACACAGGTGGCCAATATTTCTTGATCAGAACAGGGAAAAAAGTATGGACGCTAAAGCACCCAACATAAGGGTATGTGTGTGTGTGTTTCCAGTAATCCACGCTGGACCTAAGTGGTTCCTTCTCAACATGAAAACATTTTCTTCTATTATTTATTAAAATATTATGTTTCTTCCGTTTGTTTCAATTTTCCTTAACCTATAGACAAACCATTTTTTTCTTCAATTTATCTACTCTTGTCTTTAGTTGAGAAATTATACTGCTAAGCGCCAAAGAATATTTTGTGTACATTCGAGTCTCCATAAGTTCTCTTCATATTTATATGCAAGCTGACTTCTCTTTCGTCCATTTCCCTGGACCGTGTTCTGATTTCTGACTTGTCGTCTTCTCTCTGGAAGCTGCTTCCTTTACTGGGATGGGGTGTCTCTTTAATGGACACTGGAGCTGGTGTTGGGTTTTTGAGGAGCTCCTGTTGTGGCTGTTCTGCCGGCGACAGGGCAAAGTACCAACTGTAGGCTTCTGAGATCATCTAGCAAGTAGCCCCCTCTGTCTGAAGTGCCCGGAGAAAGCCATTCTGTCCTCTCACTGCTAGGTCCTTCATGGCCTCAGGGGGCTCAGACTATTCAGGTCAGTGCTAGAGCCAGGAAGTCTTCATGAAAGGCTGATTCTGACTTTCATTGAAGAGTTCCACATCAAGTTCTTGCCTGATATGCCACCCTGGGGTCCTCGCCGGAGTTCTCTGAAGCATGTCTGGCCAGTGGGAAGGAAGACTTGCACAGCTCAGAGCCTTGGCTGACTCCTGTTACCATAAGCCAGCTCCCCTGGCTCAGGGGACAAAACCAGGGTTGGGATTGGAGGGAAACCAATCATATACATGTTCTGTTTCAAAAATCTTTCTGTCTTTTCCCTTGTAACCAAGGCTTTTTAAAGACAAGCATGCAATAGTCACAAGATTATAATTGAGTGAAACTATTTTAATCAAAGTTATTCAGTCAGATGACTTATATCCATCCTAATATATATGTCTAGCTCGGACTTTTAATTTAGTTTATTTTTGAATTTCCAGAGAGCACATACGCTCACCAAAGACAGAAACAGAGGGAAAAAGCACCCTGCAATAAGGGTGCTTTCTGCAATCCCTTCTCCTCCATTTCTCCATCCTGTGGGGATTTGGGGCATGCATAAATGCCCAGTATTTTTTTTTTTTCAGAGATTTTTGCTATGAGGCGCGTGCGCTTACCAGAGAGATGGAGAGAGACAGAGAAACCAAGAAATCGCCCCCCAGGGGAGAATGACCACTCTACAATTCCTTCTCCTCCATTCTCCTCCTGAGTATGCATGCATGCACATGTACCTGGCGTGAGCTTCAAGTTGCCGGTTCTGACACTTGAACCTGGGTCGACCGTGCGAGAGTCCAGTGACATAACCATTACGCCATCCACTAGTCCCTCCCAGCATGATTTATAAGCCACAATGGCCAGGATTTGAATCACAGTCGGCCCTGTGGGATCTGGCTCCTCCTGTTAGGAGGCTATAGCATGCATGCACACGTACCTGGCGTGAGCTTCAAGTTGCCGGTTCTGACACTTGAACCTGGGTCGACCGTGCGAGAGTCCAGTGACATAACCATTACGCCATCCACTAGTCCCTCCCAGCATGATTTATAAGCCACAATGGCCAGGATTTGAATCACAGTCGGCCCTGTGGGATCTGGCTCCTCCTGTTAGGAGGCTATAGGGCTGGTCCTCAGACTTCTCCCTAAGTTCCACACCTACACAGTCACCCACTGGCTTGTTATTTATCTCCATCCAACTGCCTCATAGGCATCTCAAACTCAGCACGGCCAACAGGGAACTCGCAGTTTTCGCTTCTAAGCCTCTTCCGGATTGCTTCCCATCTCAGCTGCAGTAAATGGCCCACTACCCCCAATTACTAAGTACAAATCCTAGGGGTTCTTGATCCCTTCATTTCTTTCCCCTCCCATAATCAGTCCATCAGCAAGCACCGTGAGCTTCACCCCTGAGTCTATCCTGAACATATTCGCTCTCCTCTTCTTCACTCCTAGCATAGTAGTCCAAACTAATTTAATTGCTTCCTTTTTCTTTTTGATCTCACCCCCATTTCCCACTTCTATTTACCACAGAGCACTCAAGAGATCCTTTAACAAAGTCCATCAAATCATGACCTCCCTGGGCTTAAAATACTTAGTAATTTCTCTCTGTTCTACATGAAAAAGTGCTCAACAGCATTAAATCACAGGGAATGCTGATAAGAACCACGATGAGATGAGACTTCGTACCTGTTAGGATGGTGTCATCAGAGGGGCAAGCTCGTGTTGGTAAGAGTGTGGCGGAAGGGTCCGAGTGCACTGTTGGTGGGATGCACGTTGGTGCAGCCATTATGAAAGCATTGTAAAGGTCTCTAAAGAAGTTACAAATAGAACTGCCATATGATTTAGCAATCCCTCTCATGGCTATATACCCAAAGGAAATGAAATTACCCTCTCCTAAATATATTTGCACCCCATATTCACTGAAGCATTACTCCCGACAGTCAAAATACTGAAACAGCTGAAGTGTCTATTGATAGACAAATGGAAAGGAAAATGTGGTATATGTAGGTGTGTGGATAGCATTATATATACCACAGTATTATAATATATATTATTACATATATTTATGTATGTATGTCACAGTTTTTCAATTAGTATTTGTATATTAGTATTATAGTAGTATAATACTAATAATTATAATCATATGTTAATATAATAGTAACATTATGATATAATTATATTATTATAATAGTAGAGTAATAATAATTATAATTAAAATAGCAGTATATTATATAATATAGTATGTATTATTCAGCTCTATAAAAGAAGGAAATCCTGCTAATTGCTATAGCATCGATAAAACAGAAGACATAATGCTATTTGAAATAAGCCAGACACAGAAAGATAAATATATGATCTTGCTTAAATGAAGAATTTTTAAAAGAAAGGCAAAATATGTAGAGAGAATAAAATGGTGGTTACTGAGGGTGAGGGAAGGATGGGGAGAAAATAGGGAGATTAAGGTGAAAAGATACAAAGTTGCAGATGTACCGAATGAGCACGTCCTAGAGGTCTCACGCAGAGCATGAGGACTACAACTAATAATAATGTGCTGTATTAGGAGTTTTGGCTAAAAGAGTAGATTTTAAATGCTCTTGCCACACACACACACACACACACACACACACACACACACACAAAGAAAAAGGTAACTGTGAGGAGAAGGATAAGTTAATTTGCCTGACTACAGTAGCAATTTCACTATGATGTCATATATCATTATACACCTTGAATATATATAATTAAAAGAAAAATCCAAACATTGCCCCACCTCCCAGAAACCAGATCCTGCCCCTCTGGTTCCTCTTACACTGTTCCCCCCACGGACTTCTGTCTGATAACACCGGTTTCCTTTCTTCTGCTCTTCGGTGTCCACCAAGCGCCTTCTAGCCTAAGCATTCTGTACTTGTAGATCCTCCCATTTGGATCTTCTTTGCCTAACTTTGAAATCACTTTTTGATGCTTCCATTAAATTAGCCGTCTGCCTTCTTCCTCCAGTTACGTGTTTTTATAGCATTATCCTGTTCATTTCCTTCACCATTCTCATCACATTCTATAAAATTTTAAACTTATAGAATGTATCTTCCTCAAGTTGAATGCAATACAGCATAATAGATATTCGTTCCTGTGGTCTGAGTGTCCTTCCAAAATTTATGTGTTGATGTGACAAAATTAGGAGAGTGAAAACTTAATCCAGTCATGTTGGGTGGTGAGGCCTTTGGAAAATGATTGGGCATTGGAGTGGAGCCCTCATGATGGAGTCTTGGTGGATTCATCTAGGGAAGGAGCTAGACAGAGACTCGGGTGCAGATGCTCAGCTCTGGTCCCTGTGAGGTGATGCCTCAAGACCATGCGCCTAGACTGTGCCCAAATGTGGCCCCTGGACCTTCGTCCTCCAAACCTTGAGCTGAATAAACCTCTATTGTTATATAAATTACCCAGACTCGGGTATCTTTCTGTCATTAACAGCAGCATAGACCAGATTACTCATTAAATATTTTAGAAGGTAGGAGAAGGGGGAGAACATGAGAAAAGCAATTAAGGAGAAAAACAGAGGAAAGACATTTATGGAACACAGGTATGAATTATTATCTGCTGGGACCAGCAGTTAGCATAATGGCTATGTCCCTGGACTCCCACGTAGTCGACCGCAGTTCGAGTCCCGGACCTGGTGGCTTAAAACTCATGCCGGGCACATGTGCGTGTGTGCCCAAGATCCCGAGAGGAGAATGGAGGAGAAGGGATTGCAGCGTGGTCATCCCCCTGGGGGATGATTTCTTGCTCTCTGTCTCTCTCTCTCTTTTGCCCTATAGCAAAAAACCTCTCCAAAAAAAAAATTATTATCTGCTGATGATAACATGTATCATATCCTCAACTGGACTGGTGTGACATGTATTCACGCTGAGTAAATTCCCTTTACAAGCTAAGCGATGTATAGGGATTGAATATATAAAATAAACTTAAAACATACTCTGAATGAATGAATCAATAAATGCCACTTTCCTTTGTCTCTAAGACATCTCAGGAATTTCTTTCAGAATTACCTTTAGGGACAATTAAGTCTTCACATAAGGAAAACAGTTGTTGCTTTATGACCTCAGCCTGTTATCCCTCAGGTTGATACTGTGGCACATACTTTTATTTTACACTTTTAAATGTTCCTTTTTCCTTTTTTTTCTTTTCTTAAGTCAGCTCAGTACTGAGCCCCACTTCCATCTTTGGCTTTTCCACTTGAAGCTGGGATCGATGTGGTGTCACAGAGCACTCACGCCCAGGATGGGACCTTCCATGTGGCTTGTCCTGACAGCCCCTCCCACATCCTGCTCCTGATAAACTGGCTGTCCTACTGTGATTCTCATTGTACCCCAACACCGGTCGGCACCAGTCACCTTTCCTTGTTCTAGCCTGCTTTCAACCCTTCTCTTGCCTCTAAGTTTGAAGCCCGGTTGAAGGCAGGAGCGACGTGTTGTTTTTGTGCTTGGCACACAGCAATGAAATATCACATGGTGACGCTGAATGTGAGAAGGTGAGCCAATGGGCCAGGAAGCAAGCTCAGTTACATGCCGTAATACATATTCTAGATGCCAGACGAGCTTTATATTATTGAGTGCATGCGATTAACTGGCTAACGCGAATACTGTCAGGAGCTGACTGACTTCTCAGGGACGTCTCCTGTGGTGCCTGTTCACGTGAAGCCGTGGGTCCTACCTGTGCTGAGGCCGCAGGCCATAGTGTGCGTGATCGAATCTGGAGTTCGCTCTCCTCTCCAGGCGGTCATTTACTTGTGCCGTAGTCAATATTTTCTGAAGGAAACTATTGAACCGAGTGAAGAAGGAACTGTCCATGGGATACCCATTATCCCAGACACGGTGCAAAATCCAAGACCCTCGTCTGGTACTGAGGAACACCTGGGAGACAGAGACACAGCAAACCAGAGAGAGAGAGAAGCGTTCACACGTCACTTCTACTCCTATTTAGTTCACCACCCTGTTTTAAGAGTGTCCGCTACTGAAGATGAGGAGGGATAGAATGTAGCAGTGGTCGCCGTGTTGTGCTGTGTCAGGGCTGTCTGGATCTCCAGAACAAGGCCCAGCTGTGACACCAACTTTCTGCACGAGAAGCGGACATTTTCACTCACTCGTGTTTCAGTCTCATGTTTCTGAATTACTGTTTTCAAAAATACTGACATAACTATGCTTCATCTATAAATAAACATTTGCTTGTACAAGTAAATGATCATATTAATGACTATAAATTTTACCGTGTGGTTTGCATCAAAATCAAACATATATTAAGAACGTCAACGAATCGCATCATTCGGGATGAGGGTCCTGATGAACTGAATGTGACCGGAATCACCTTTGAAATATTTCTGTAACATGTTTGTAAAGGCTTCTGCATTCTGATGCAACTGAAAACATGGTATTATGAATTCTTGACTTGATTCCTGGTGCTTGTGCAATCTTGAGATGATTATGTGGACTCTCAATTCTTACTGGTCAAATATGTGAACTGTGAGAGGACCTTAGAAAGTTTGTGGAAAATGGAATTAAAGTACGAGCTTATTTTGGTAAAACGAAACTGAAATCCATGTATAGCTTTTTCATAACATACATTTTCTGAATGCACTTTTTGAAGACAGATGGGTGCTAGTGAATAAGTACTTATCTCTAAATACTTAGTAACTTTTTATTTTTACCAAGCTAAACTCTTAGTTAGTGGGTTAGTAGTAATTTTCTCCTAAAAACTGATTATAAATGATAACAAATAAAGACAAAGAAATGATAATCAAGATATCTAAATATATTTATTGAGTTTTCCATTAATTGTGGCTTTATTCAATGTGGTCAATGATTCTGAATGCAAAAGTTATCTTGTTTTGCTCAAAAACTCTAATTTTTCATGTGTAAAGTTAGACTTGTGTTCATGGAAATGTGTGTGTCACCTGTGTCTGCTATGAGAGTATTTGGATTGATTAGGGTCTTTGGTGATTCAATAAAATGTGGGGGGAAAACAGTGTAGAAAGCAAACATAGATACCAGAGACAGTGTGGGAGGAGAGTGGGAGATGGCAGAGGGTAAGAGATAGGGAATCAAGGATGGGGAAGAAAAAGCAAAACAGAGAAAACAAGAAATGGAAGATCATCTGCTGACAATAACATGTATGTTGATGTGCTTGATTGAGACAATATACAGTGTACTCTGGATGGAAAATCTCATTTTGTATGCTGTAATGATGTACAGTGAATGAATGCAAATAAATAAATTGAAATAAAAAAAACTCTAATTTTTTAAGAGGAGAAAACATACCGAATAATCAAGCATAGATAAACTTAGATAATTTGCTTCTGTCTGAAATAAAATATGCCTAAAGCAGAATTTAGTGCGTCACTCTCTTTTCTCTCATCATCACAGGTACATTATAATACTTCTAGTTAAAAGGAATATGTATTTATCTTCCTTGAGTCTCCTCCTTTTCCCGTTCTTTAATTCTGCCACCCAAATCTACTGACTCCCAATTTCTTTTCTTTACTATTCTTTGAAGTATTTTTCATGAGAAAAGTCAGATGAATTATATAACATGTTGTTTCATCTGTGCTAATGTTAGTTAACTCGACTCACGTGTTTTTTCTATTGCGAACGTGATGGATTTATTTTGGATTTATCTTCTGCTCCCCATGAATTTAAACACCTTGAAGCCAGGGCTCATAGATTTTGCTTTCTGTTTTCTTTTCTTTCTTTTTCTTTTTTTTTTTTTGGAGAGTTTTTTTTTTTTTTTTTTTGCTATAGGGCATGTGCGCTCACCAGAGAGACAGAGAGACAGAAAGCGAGAAATCACCCCCCAGGGGGGATGGCCACGTCGCAATCCCTTCTCCTCCATTCTTCTCTCGGGATCTTGGGCACGCACACACACGCGCCTGGCGTGAGTTTAAGCCACCGGGTGTCTGGGACTCAAACCCTGGTCGACTATATGGGAGTTCAGTGACATAGCCATTACGCTAACTCCTGGTCCCTTTTTTTTTTTTTTAGAGTAAAGTTAAACTTCACTTTACAGTGTTTTTTTCTATATACAAAGAATTATAGCACATGCTTATGGGGACTCCTAGCACAAGGCTCCCCTCTTTTTCAGTAGGAGTTTCACTTACAGCTGACAATCTGTTCACTTTCTTAGCCCTCACAAGAAGCCCAGCTTACATTTTGGATGGCACCTATAAACATGCAGGGTTCCCAGATGAAAGCTGCTTCCAGGGGGAAGTGGTTGAAAGTGAACAAACCTGTCTTGCCACGCGACTGAGCTCCACGGCAATGTCCACTCCGGAATTCCCAATGCCGACCACTATGATGTTCTTTCCTGCAAACTCCTCGGGGCTTTTGTACTCCCGACTGTGGAAATAACAGCCTTTGAACTTCTCAATGCCTGTGGTAAAGAGCATCTCATTACGAGGAGTACTTTTCATAGTGCTAACTCAGCACGTAGGAGGAAGCTCCGTCCTGAGGAAGCTGCACAAGCGAGACTTTGATTCTGGGTCAGCAAACTGAATATCATCATTTGTCCTAAGTATATAATCTTATGTTTTACAGAGCTCAGGAAGAGAGAGTAAATTCGGAATCAGTACCTGTGGATTCTAAATATAGACCTGTGACCTTATAAAGTATTTAGTAAATAGTAGATCTATCACTCTTGGACCATCAAAAATGAAAGTTTCAGGAACCAGCAGTTAGCGTAATGGCTATATCGCTGGATTCCCACGTAGTCGACCGTGGTTTGCGTCCCGGACCCGGTGGCTTAAATCTCACGCCGGGCGCGTGTGCGTGTGTGCCCAAGATCCCGAGAGGAGAATGGAGGAGAAGGGATTGCAGCGTGACCATCCCACCTGGGGGGTGATTTCTCGCTTTCTGTCTCTATGTCTCTGTCTGTCTGGCGAGCGCACGTGCCCTATAGCAAAAAACCTCTCCAAAAAAAAAAAAAAAAAGTTTCACAATTTCACTACAGTCTA